AGAGGAGGGGTGTGTTCTTGATTAAAAATTTGGTCTATATAGAGCAACAAAAATTTACATAGGATGCAAAAATAGTGTTGTAATTTTTTTTAATTTCAACATCAGTACAATTTACAAATGTAATACATTAAAAAAAATTACATATAGGGCTGCACCTGTGGCTCAAAGGAGCAGGGCGCCAGTCCACCTGGGCGACCTTGCCCGGGAGGGGAGTAGGGAATTTACATTAGCCTTTTCGCTCCCAAATGGAGTTACGTTAATCTTTTTAGCAGCCGAAAACTGTATATTCCCTTCCCTTTGTCCCACCCTTCCCTAGATTGTCCTGTATTCTTTCCAAAAATCAGAACTTTTTTAAAAACGCCATGGGACACGGGACAAATTGTTAAAAATCAGGACTGTCCTGCCAAAAGCGGGATGTCTGGTCACTTTAGTCTAGTCTTACACATTTCTCTACATAATTTCCTTATAAATCTCAGTGTGAGAATAAATATTTAACAGACACTTATGTATAATCTATTATATTAATCTTGACTGGGAAGTTATTAACTATTAGAGAAAAATGCCATACTCACATTAGAAACCCAAGGCATGGAATCTCTTTTTCTTATATTCAGTTATGTGATCCAACCAGAGTTTCAATTTGTGAAAGAAAAAAATTTTTGTTCTGTTTTTAAATAATCCCTGAAAGATATTTAACTCTTTATTTTCCTCATGGAGTGGGTACAGTCCAAATTGCATGCACCTTACCTTGAACAGACAGCATATTGGACTCTTAATATGGATACTCCAGAACTGACACTGAAAAATTCCACTTCTTATTATGGTGGCTGATATTTTTATATTTTACTTGATATTCTCAAAGTGCTCCCACAAATTTATTTTTTTGACACTAACCATAAACATTTTTAGACCTTTCTAAAAATTTTATTATTCTTGAAATGTTAAAATATAGTTATCATTTTGTGATCACTGAAATTTCTCAAGGACTGTGCATAGAAGTTGCTAAATTTGGACTGTATTTCAATAATCACTATTTATTGTTATGTATTCCTAAAAGATACTTGTTGATAAACTTATGCAGGGTCAAGATTTTGCCCAGACTTATTCCCCTTAATTGACCCTGAGTGATGGATTTGGGCTAGGCTTAAGTCTCTGCTCACAAACTCTTACCTTTAATTCCTATAAGCTATATGGCATATGTAACTGATTCAAAGCTATCACACAACTTTGTGTATCAAAGCGATTGGTTTGTTTGTTTGTTTGTTTGTTTTTTAAGGACACTTTTGCATTTTAGTTGAATCAATGCATTGCTTATATCGTCTCAGAAAGACACTTGCTTCCTTTTGGTACCTAGATCTTCAAAGGATGGGAGTGCTTTTTGCTGGCTTCCTAGAGTCAAGTCTTATTTCCTAGTGATGAGAACCAGCTCTATACCAAGCTTGGCTTACAGCTTTGGGGAAGACCAATGGTATCCCCTCCTGAGAGTAGTCATGTTGCATGGCGTCGTTACCTTCTGTCCAAATCTGCTTTACTGATAACTGGGCCCACAAAATTGTGTTCATCTCAGAAAGAATTGGCATAAGGAATTTTGTGAAAATTTTATAGACGTTACCATGATGTAATGTCTACAGTGAAAGTCCATTTTGAAATGCTCCTAATTCTGTTTGAAATCAGCACACTGTACCCTGTAGATGCATTAATGTATACATGATCTATGCATAAATTGCACATGAAAAAAAGTCCATTTGCACATTTAAAAAAGTCCATTTATGATTTAATAAATAAATAAATAAGTAAATAAAAGTAAGTAAAGTCCATTTGTGATTTAATAAATAAATAAATTGCACATGAAAAAAAAGTCCATTTGCACATGAAAGAAAAAAGTCCAAAAAAAAAGTGAGTGCTGCAGAGGTAGGTAAGTAAATTATAGCATCAATTTCCTTTCGATAATAGTTGGAGAAGGGACATTTTTAGGGTGGCCTTCTCATTTAAACAGACAGAATTTCACCTCCAGTTTGAATGCAGAGTATCGAAGCATTTTTGGTAGCCCGGGCATGGGGCCATGGCCATAGTAAAAGCGGCAGTCACAGCAGTGGTAGTAATAGCAGTGGAAGTTTGCTGTGGGCCGGGCACTGTCTAGACCTTTAAATATGATACCAAATTTAATTTTGCAGATAAGCCTATTTTATTCCCATTTTACTGATGAGGGACCTGAGGCCCAGAGGTAAACTAAGTTTAACTTTTCTACCATCACACACAAAATGGCAAAGTTAGAATTCCAGTCCAGACTCTGATGGCACAGACCGTGCTGAGCCTCATGAAGGTGTGCATTTGGACCCCTCCTACTGTGATGTGAAAGTTCTTTACAAATGGTGAGCACAATTCTTTTAGAAGATAGCCTTTAATTTCTGTCACATGTGGCAAAAAAGTGGCCCTGCTATAGCCTCCTTTTGGGCAACTGTTACACCTAGTGCCGTCAAGAGACAAGCTGGATGATACCGTGATCTCTAACATGCAAGGTAGTCTGTTGCTTGTCCTAAGAGAATTCCTGGTGTGACAGTAAATAGATCATCCCTGTAGGAGCAGCAGTGACTTCATCTGTCATGAGAATCTCAGTATATTAAAGTTTTTTGAAACACTATAGGGATTGTGCTTACTAAAAAGTGCGGGTTTTTCCTTATTTGTAAAGGTTTTATTGTGCGTGGGGCAGAGAGCTAAGTCCTTGGCAGCTGTCTTCCTTCTGCAGCCAGGATGCCAGGACATTGCTCAGCTCCTCCCTCTTAGCGGGAGTGTGTCCCCACCTTTTTCTCGATGAACATGAGGGCCCCTTTGTCCTTGGAGCCTTGGAGTGTCTCCACGGCATGCAGCTCCTACAGGGCAAAGCCATGGGCCTCTGGGACCATATCCTGTGCAAACTTGTGTTTGGTGAGGCCCAAGGCACGGTTGTGCCTTGGCTTTCCCATGTTCTTGGTCACCTTGTGGCCCTTGTTTAGACCTATGGTTATGGGGTAGCTCAGAGCCAGGGCTGCAGGCACCCAGAATCTCTAATGGATGCCATTGCAGAAGTAAAAAGTGTATTTTTAAGGACCCAAGAAGTTCATCAGATACCGTAGCTTATCTGTGAAACAAAGCAGGACAAGAGTTAGTCTTCTAGTCCTCCTATGGTCCAGTACCAACAGACATTTACAGGTACCCCCTTTTTGATTCAAACTCAATTACATATTTTCAACATTTGAATTCAAATCAAGAAATAGTTCATCCAGGCGTGGTGGCTCATGCCTCTGGGAGGCCAAGGTGGGAAGATTTTTTGGGCTCAGGAGTTCAGCCTGAGCAAGAGTGAGGCCCCGTCTCTACTAAAAATAGAAAAACTAGCCAGGCATTGTGGTGAGCGCCTGTAGTTTCAGCTACTTGGGAGGTTTAGAGGCAAGGAGGATCGCTTGAGCCCCAGAATTTGAGATTGCTGAGAGTGAGACTGTCTATTAAAAAAAAAAAGTTCAAAAAACAACAGTGGACCAGAGACCATGAGGGTGACTTGCTTGTGGTATGGCAATAGTTTTAGTCTCTATGAGAAGTTCTGTGTTGAGAAATTGTATTGTTCTGTATTGAGAACATGAGAAAAAGATTTCAAAACAAGGGGGTAATTAAAGATCACTTGACAGAATTTGAAGGCAGAACAATTGTTTTAGGCCTCAGTTTACAGACACTCAGAAGATTTCATCATTATTTAATTTTTCTGTACAATATTACTTTCTATTAGTTAAATGTAATTTGTCTTTGTATTGAAAACAGCCACGGGTAGACTAAGATTACAATAAATTATTTCATACAGAAAAAAGTCAGGTTAAACCAA